CTTCTTTCCACATCGTTCAGGTCAGTGGGTTTCGTTGTATAGATAAGGGATTTCAAATTACTTCGTAAAAGGAAATCATTGGGTGCCAGCCGGCAGATGTGCTGTCTATTCTAATGGTCCGCTACGGACCTTTATGATGATGGTAGTCGAAATCTATTGGCAGATAATATTTAGTTTCAACAAGATATGTGTCACCTCCCGTATCACACGTGAATGAATGGCTACCCCAAAATTTCACAAACAAATGAATAGGTCGTGAAGGATCAATAAAATGGCCAGCACGCTCGCCGGACATGGTGTCCAATGATTGTTTCCTTTGGGGTCAACCAAAATCCGTTATTTATGAAACGGAATCTACTGATCTGGACGATAAGAAAAATGAATTAGGGTTGAATGCCTGACAATGACTAGAGGAATATTTCAAATTTGCTAAAGGAATTTACAAATAGATTCTTCCACTGTCTGGAAGTCAATGTAGGTGATTTTGAACATTTGTTGTAGATGGCCATTCATTAATTCATTCCGTACATTCAATTACTCACAATTATAAAACATACCATTCGAAAGCAAATATCTCGAGAACGAGTTGTTGGAATTCAAAAAACTTTGCACTGCTAGTTTCCGAATTAAATCACCTTTCCAATGATGTATAACACGTCCCTTATTCCCTATTCAAATTATTGAGGGGGTTGCTCTGGAGAGTAGAGGGTTGAAGTATGGATCATTTATTTTGCCTCAAAATGTGTCCCCCTCCAAATAAAAATCGACCTGTTTCGTCATTTTTTTGTTGAATAATTATTCTGGGAGATATCGAGGGTGGATAGTCTTGAATGGACCACCCGGTATATAGTATTGATTTGTTATTGAGAAAGTGACTCGTTTCACTATGACAACATATAACAGAAAGTTCGTCAACAAAACTCACATGGGTGGAAATATTCGAAAATCGCACAGTAACATGTTTCAACCTTTACTAATATTCTCAAAATATCAGTTTTTTTCTAATTTTAATTAACGAGGAATTTCATCTTGAAAATACAACAAAAAAAATGGGGAAAATATCAAGTACGCTACTTCAAGGTAATTTTAATCTCACCACAAATTTTATTCTGATTCCTAATTTTTTTTATTGGATCTCAGGATCTGAAATATTTGTATTTATTTCTATGTCACCCCCTATCTATATAGCCTATTATACAGTGCTTTTCTTTAATGTCCCCCCCCTGTAATTTTTGGAACATGTCAACTGAAAAAATTGAAACTTGGGGAGATGGAATTGGTGCATGAATACTATATTTTGGAGTAGAATTGACAGATGAAAATTTCAAGATGGCGACTAGGCGCCATCTGGGATAAAATTAAATATAAAGTTCAAATAGTTGGTGAGATGATAGCTCGGATGATAGTAAATCTTCAACAGTCTACTTCCTCCGTCGCTAATATTTGTGAGGTGGGTCCTTCTACTGTGTGGAGACTTTGGAAGACGAATTAGTATCATCCATACAAAATCAAAATGGTATACCAGTTAACTGAAGATGCGACCCTGATCGAAGTAGAATTCTGCGAAATTATGACGGAAACCATTGTATGGCATCTCTCCTATCTCCAGAATATTTGTTTTAGTGACGAATTTAGATTTTTTCTCTACGGCAATGTTCACAAACAAAATTGCCGTTATTGTAGTGACACCAACCCTCACGTTATCCGGGAAACTCATACTCAATATCAAGAAAAAATTAACGTTTGGGCAGGAATATTGGGAAACCATATTGTAGGACCTCTATTCATTGACCAAAATTTAACAGGGAAGCTGTATTTGAATATTCTGGAAAATTCTGTTGGGCCTCTAATCACCGAATTCGTCGAAGCGAATCCTAATGAATTTGATATGGATATCGTATTCCAACAAGATGGAGCACCACCACATTACTCCAGACAAGTGAGAAACTATTTGGATAATACTTTCCCCGGTCGTTGGATTGGCCGTCGAGGTCCTACGGAATGGCCAGCCCGCTCGCCAGATTTGACACCTTTAGACTTCTTTTTATGGGGCTATTTGAAGCAGGAGGTGTACGAAACTGAACCTGCTTCAATATTGAACATGCGGCAGAGAATAACGAATATTTGTAGAAATATTGACGTTACTGTGTTCGAGAATGTTCGGCGTGAAATATCGAATAGGCTGTTCTTATGTCAAGAAGTTCAAGGCAACCATTCCGAGCATCTTCTGAACTGAACTCACCCTATTTTCTTAAAATATGGAGTTAACGGTTAAACGTAGATGTATTGAGGCAATTAATAAATGTTCCGTCATTTTGTATTAGATGAACATATTGACTTTGTATTCTTGGGTTGTGAAGTATTCGTCAGGAGCTTCAAAATGATGTGTTCCATTTAATTTTTTTATCCCAGATGGCGCCTAGTTGCCATCTTGAAATTTTCATCTGTCATTTCTACTCCAAAATATAGTATTCATGCACCAATTTCATCACCCCAAGTTTCTTTTTTTTTTTTTCAGTTGACCCGTTCAAAAAATAACATGGGGGGGCATTAAAGAAAAGCACTGTATAGCCTAGGGCAACTTGTTAAAGAATTCGACTCTTCATCATCTCATGTGTAGTTTTCAAAATATTGAGGCTGTTTCTTTCGAAATTAAAATATTTTTAATATTTGATTGTTAACGCCTTATTCGAAATAGAACTTTTTGCCCAACATATCTCAGTTTTCCATCTCCAAGGTTTATTGGCACTTTGTCTTGACAAGTTATTATTCTTTTTTCTTACAACATCAATCTCCCACTATTCAAATTGAACAAAACACAATCAGCATATGATAACTTGTAACTTGCTACTAGATGGTATCAATATAAAAGAAACATTTGGCACTAAGTTCCTCGGCTTGCATATTGACAATAAGTTAAAGTTCAATGAACATATCACATTATTATGTAAGAAAATAGCTTCTGGATCATTGGCCGTCAGAATTGTCGCTAATGAACTCGACATATCCACAGTTATATTGACTTACTTTGCCTTCGTTGTGTCCCATTGCATTTTGGGGATTTTGTAGCCCAAAAACTCCTCAATCAGGTCCTTGTGCTGCAGAAGAGATCTTTGAGATATTTGTGTAGGGCTAACAAAAGAGATAGTTGTAGACATCATTTCATATAGCTACGAATTTTAACTGTAGTGAGCAACTTCATTCTCGAAGTAGTTTGCCTGATTCACAAAAGATATGTGATATGTTACTAATTTTACCTGATGAAGTTGATAGACCTTATAATACCAGATACAGACAAAACTGTGATATTCGCCTGCCAATACCCAAACTGTATTCAACAAAACACTCCAATATGTATGAAGGGAAAAAATGTTTAATCACCTACCACATTCCACTAAGAATATTCTAGATCATAAAATATTCAGAAGATCAGTCAAACATCTGCTTCTCAATAAAGCATACTATGCAGGAATATTATGCTGACGTGCCTCAATAAATAACACTATTAAAACTGTTGTTTGTATATATATTCATTCACTTATTTTAATGAATATTTTAACGTGTTTTCTTGCTAGTTTTCTTAATTTTTGTATGACACTGTATATTCATGCAGTCTAATATTGTATATATTTTTATATAATGCAATTGCATCGATAGTATGCAAGGTTAACCCTTACCCTTGATTTTAATTTATTATTTTTTATTATTTATATCTATATGTATATGTATGTATTTGTTAAAAAAAATTATTTGCTTCTGACACATTGTACAATATTCGTATTGTTCACATTACTTTGTCAATGAGAATTCATTCTTGGACAATAAAGTATATATATATATCTATCTATCTATCTATCTATACAAACACAATATAAATTTCATATACAGGATCTTGTGAGCATCGAAGCTATAACAGTAATAGTGACCATCTTGTATCGATTAAAAGGATAAACATAAAAACCCCATATCCTACAAATCCATATACAGATTGATTGAATCGAGTAGGCTGATAAAACAAGCGAGTAACGCAATCTGCAAGAGGATAACGCGTGGAAGAGAATACATCCTATCCTTTTTCTTCAACGAATAGAATGAAAAAGGGAGACAAGAAATATGCCGACCTGATTAGATCGACGCCACAAGAATATTTTTCTACGGCTATAACACAAAATTGCTCTTGTTTTACTGTGTTGGATATATCAATGAGGCACTTTGTATGTCATCAATTTTATTGCCGTATCTGATATCACAATGACTTCATTGTGTTATTATTTCACAAAATCTCATCTCCCGTCTCCCATGAAATGTCAAATGTCAAACATTTATAGCTCTGCCTAAAGTCCGTATGACACGGGCCAGTTCTTCATCCATTTTCTGAATTAGAATTTGTATTCAGAATTTACCGTGTATTAAAGAAACAGAGAGTCTGACCACGTCTGACTGCAAAATTGGTTGAAAAATAGAACATGTCCTATTTTTCATTCATTTTATGTTGAATCGCTTGCGCATAACCCCGTTATTCCTTCGAATTGTTCCTTTCGTTTTGAAGTGAGAAACAATTTTTTGGGGTTATGGTAATGTCACTTTCTTGATATTTTGAAAAGGTAATTGTTATAATATAAATTACAAATAATATATGTCCATTGATTAATGTTGCTGTGATCTCAAATTCAGATAACATCAGTTCTATAGTGGTTTGGTCTTCGGAGCATATGTTGGTGCTTTAATTTAAGAATACCAAAAATATCCCTGTTTGTTTGTAACCTCGTTTGCAATCAAACGCCCAGAAACGCTCGAGTAGACCCTTTGACAAAAATGAAATGTGGATTGAGTAGTTGAGTAGGTACCTACCTCATTTCTGGTGAAATACATTCTCGCATATTTGTATCAAAGTCCACTAAAATGCATATGTTGCTATTGCTGGTGATTTGTCAAAAAAACCCCATCTTGGTTAATAAAACATTACTGTTGTCGAATTTTCATAATAATTTTTGTTTCAGGCCCTGAACTAGTGCCAGTAGATAATTCTGTGAGTTTTCGTCCGAAAACAAACTTTGATTTAAAGTGCAATGTTTCGTATACCGGAGATTCGCCGCCTACAGTTACTTGGTAAGTAGTGATATCCACAAGGATTTGTTGATGTTGACTATAGCCATCGAACATCAACTTGTCTGAAAGTTGATGTTCAATGCTATAGCGAGATAAATGATTGCATTAAGGCATTACAGTACTTTCAACGCACGCGCGGAGACCATGATTATGTCATTCATAAAATAATTGTAACGAATTACAATGATATATGAGTTACATAGTAGATACATCGCTTGTTCGACCGCCAAATCTACAAACACGCCACGAAAAGATACATTTTACCTACATATAGATAATACAGTAATATGATAATATAGTATTGTTTAAAATAATACATATTTACTCAAAAATATTAAAAAACAAACATAAATTCTAAGAAAGAAACCAAATATTAAACACAAAATATTTGAAAACAAACATGAAATTCTAAAAAAATATCAAAACTCATTTTTAATATTAAAAAATTAACAGTAATTCTGAAAAAAATACTTACAAAACAAATATTAATATTTGAAATTAAGTTTCGGTAAATTATAATGTAATAAAATTAAATTTTCAGATCTTTCAAGCGTTAGTCGATTTCTAGCGCCCTCGTATACGTTTCCAGCTGAAGAAAATAGCTGTTTGCTCGCTACACTACTGGGTGGTGGTGCTAAATATATAATTGCACATTTATACAGTAGTGAAAAGTTATTTTTCTCTTTTTCCCACCACATCAAAGGATCTTCATTTTTTATAATATTTGTTAGTTTTATATACATTTTATATTCTTCTTCAATATCGGCTTTTTAGTAATTTAAATATATTTTTCAAGGGAAAAACAATACTTGAAATGTTTGCCCGATATATCGGTATCGGCCGATATCGGTATCGGCCTCAAAAAATCATATCGGTCGATCCCTAAAAACCACGTATATTTGGGTGATTTGCATGATTTAAATATAGCGAATTTCTCAAAAATCGCACTTGCCACAGATATGTGCAGTTCTTGTTCTAAATGGGAAAATATGATTCCTTTCTTCTCAACCAAAATCAGCTCTTGAATTGACGTTTCTATTACTGGCACCGACTGGCACAAACATAGGTATGTTGCTAGGCAACACTTTTAGTTCCTAGGAGCTAAAGTTAATAACTCCTCAAAACTAACAAGGATGTATTTGGTCATCAAGAATAATAGATTGTTTTATTAGGATCAAAAGTGACACTTTGTTTTACAAGCGAATTTTGCGGCGGAGCGTTTAGCGAGGCCGAGCGAAAGCAAAATTAGCGAGCAAACATGCTATTTTTTCTGCAACCGAAACAATTAACTAAAATTAATATGTGAAGTAACCACCAATCGGACTTACTTGACAGATTATTTATTATAATACCATTATTATATTAATATAGGTAAGTAGATAGAAGCAAGACCTCAGACTACTTTACATTAGAATATTGGTGGACGATGACTTAACTTTGTTACAATAATTTGTGTTGACATGCATCATCAGATACTACAGGCACGAATTCAATACTATACCAGAAATGAACTACGAAATAGCCACAATGCTCACAGTGGAATGAAATAGTAAATCTGGCTAATGCCACGCAGGATATTGAATTACATCCTCCCGAAATCTAGGCATCGACTCGTTTAAACGAATACTGATACTGGAGTGATTCTTTCCTGAATGCCTATTGATTTCGATTTCTCCCGAAATCTACCATTGTTGTTCATTTTATGAACACTAGGTGGAAATGACTGTGAGCTTTTCACATTTATTCACTATACCAGAAACGTGGATGCCGTGCGACAAATAATCCATGTGGTGAGAATAATCTACCTGCATTCACAGATCAGGTTTATTCAATTTTCAACGATGTTCGAATTGTAGTTTCAATATAAATACAATCACAGAGTGACTCATTTGTGTATTCTATTGAATTTATGAATCGATGAATTCATTTGGATCAGGTGTCTGCCCTAATAGCAAATACCGTGCCAGTGCCAGGTATAGAAAAAGAACTTGAAAATGTTTGGTTAGTGAGCATATCAACAATAATAATAGTGAATATTCATTCCTCCCCATATGCCACATTGTTTGGCTCGATAATCGAATGGAGATAAACTATATCGTTTTGTGAAACAAAAAAATATTGCTGGCCGAGATTATTCAAAAACTAGTTATCCAATCAATCAGATCCCGAGAATAAATGAAATACAGATAAAGCAAGTATGTGAATCTTGAAGGCTTTCCTGATCAAAACAAAAATACTCAACTAACTATAATATGGTGTATTTATATCTCCAGCATAGGTATGAAATGCCAAATCTGCCGAAATCGGGAACAAATCAGGTATGCGTCCCAACTCAAATAACCAACCATAACAATGTTGTTTATTCTTGATGACCTAGTACATCCTTTTTAGTTCTTAGGAGCTAAAGTTCAACTTTAGCTTTGTTTGTTTGTGTCAGTAATAGAAACGTCAATTCAAGAGCTAATTTTGGATTTTGGTATTTAAATGAACGACTTTTGTGTCGGTTGCAGAAAGTATATTGTTTCATTAGGATCAAAAGTTGCTTTTGCTCGGCTTCGCTAGACGCTCGGCCTCGCAAATGCAAAATTCGCTTGTCAAACAAAGTGTCACTTTTGATGGTCAAACAATCTACTATTTTCTGCTACCGAATTTACCTTGGGTATTACGATACTAAATATCTGCTACCGATTTCTCACTATTATTTCTCATTATTAATATTTAAACACGGATTTTCATTATGATACAGATTTTACTCAGAAAGACGTATCCTTTCCATTATGAAAATAATGTTCGGTCTATAGAAACACGTAGCGGGTATGACATTTAATTTCAATTGATATTCAATCATAACGCGTCAAAAGTTTTATTTTTAGTTTATTATCTATTGCTCGTTGAAAAAATAATCTAGGTATGCATCAACGATCTTATAATGGCTCGTATCGTAACTTATAATAATAATAATAATAATAATAATAATAATAATAATAATAATAATAATAATAATATCAGTTTATTATGATCGACAAGAAATTTTGTGTACAATTCGTCAAGGCTATAGATAAAGTGAATACAATACAATAATACAATCTCAAATAATATGAGTTTTACAAACATTTGGATAAAATACATCACATTCACATGCTCATATATTAATAGCTAGTATTACATGATCGCTGCATAAGATACTATTCCTCGCCTCAGTGGCGTAATTGAGATTCATTCCTGGGGGGTCTAGTTCCAATATCCAATATTTAAGAAAAAGAAAAGCAAAACGTAATTCACGTAGGTAAATGTGTGCATCATTTGAAACCAATACCAAAATGAAGAAAACATATTGAAAAATAATCAAATATTATCACATATCAATTAACAGGTACAAACATTGAAATAGGAACAAAAAAACAGAATAACGAAAAAAAAATCGAAGAATTTAGCTCCTGAAGAATAGGAAAATTTGAACTGTATCATTTTTTTTTTGTTGGAATGAAGAGACTACTTTTGGGGAGATGGTGACAAGAGGTGATTCAAAATTCGATGTAAATATCTTGAGTACCTATTGTTGTTCATACAATGGTGTGGCCTGATATGCTCCTCCTTCGAGCTATAGTCATTGTGAGTTGGGTAAAAAACAAAAGATTATCTGAAATTGTGATCATAATAACGAATCAAGTGTAAGTATTGTAGTACCGCACGCTCTGAAATAGCAGTCTCGAATGCGTTCCGACATACAATCACATTCGTATGCGAGCGTTCGGAAGCAATGCAAATTGCAAGATACCTACCGGATTCTTGAATTTTTTAATGCCCCACAAGATCATGCAAATCAAAGTCAGATAGTTTCTCTTTTGTAAAATAAAATTTGGGCCATCAAAAGGGTGGACCCCCTCCATACCTTCCTCAAAACTCGGTTTACATCATTTTTAAAGCGAAAGAAAATAGATGAGTGTCCAAAAAACAAGGGCATGCCAATTTTCAGAAGATGTAATCCGTTATTTTAGATAACCTTTTTTTTTCATCTTACAGTGGCTGAAGCTAGGAGGAGGTGCATTTCTAGACACATGTTTACATGGAGAAAGTCATATTTTGACCCCAACAATATGTCCTTGAAATATTTACATCGAATTTTGAATTGTCCTGTGTATGGATGTTTCAATAAAAAACTTGTACACATGTTGCAGTCGTGAGGAATGGCCACAAAAAATTGATGTTTTTTTCTCATTTTCTTCATCTCACACAACAACTAACCTACGATTTTCGTTCGGAGGGTTCTAATAAATTCCAAATGAAATTCTCGTGATATTTCCTATACTCATGTCTATTTTTCCATTGTTCACCGGATTTCTTCGGTTTTTCAGACAGCTCTGGGGGGGGGTCCATGGGGGAGTGGTAATTACGCCACTGCCTCGTCTTATTTCCACAACATAGCTATCATGCGCTATCATCCATCCATATATGTTCAATTCGGTCAATTGAGGAACTCTAATTTCGGTATTGTGCTGTTTTGACAGAAACAAACGATAATTAACATTCATTCATTCAATTTCGGCAAAATTTTCCATTCTTGAGCACCAAAGGATTCATCCAGCAAAACTAAATCTAGTCAAGCAAATAAACATTGACGAATATTGAATCAGGGTTCATATTCCATGAAATTCTATTTACCGTTCTCATTATGATTTATTCAAACAAATTAATGGATAAGCTGGAATATCCTTGTAATTACAGTTTTATTGATGGTTTTGTGTACATCATAATAATTATTCTAAGATTACCAAACCATCTTCGTTATTTTCAGAAAGTTTATTACCAGTTTAACAATGATGGGTAATAAAATGAAGGATACACTGATAAAACAGCCAAGTACCAATCCGAGTTAAACATAATATAGAACAAATTCCCCATGGTTAATTACTGCTCTTTGAAAACTATAAAATATTCACATGTATGCAATCATATTATTTCAAAACCCGCAACATAATCCACTGAGAAGGAACAACTTTTTACATTATCAACTTCTCTAATATTTAAATTAAACAATGCCTAATATTTCACATCTATTCCAGAATAGCCGGGCATAGTACCTACTTGATGCTATGTCATTGCATTGCAGGAACAATTAATACTTTGAGAAAACTTAACTACGTTCTCGAGGAAAAAATATAGGTACGCTTGTATACCTTTTTTTTCAAAATTTCCGGCTGACCCTTTTTCTACATGATGAAGTGGAAACATCAATAATTCATTGAATACTTTCCAAATGGGAAGTAATGAGCGAAAGTAATGAGATTTAGCTAAAGAATTCGTTATTTTCAAATTGTTCCATCCCACTTCCAACGGCATAATATTATGTTATCCGCTGAGGCTAGAGACACGTTGATGTGCATGTAATTTATTTCGTACATGACGTCACTCCCCAGTGAATTATTAGGGCTATTCGATCAATTCAGTATGATATATTTTTTGATATGGATCAAAATTCGTGATGTAATTTCAGTCCATGATGGAGAAGCGGCGGACATTTTTACCTCTTGACGAATGTACACATAAAAATATCGAATGAGAGGAAGAAAAATATCCTACCTGCATATCCATAAAAAGGAATACTACTTTTCCTTAACATTCTCTGAGTCGGCCTTTCCTCCTAGAAAGTTTTTTTTTACGGAAAATCACTGGAGAAAACAAATTGAAATTAAAAAGAAAAGACCCTGACGAGGATTCGCTATGTGGCAAGCGCTTAATTGAAAGTTATATGTGAAGAGAGAATTGCATTTAACCGTTATCGCGTGTTGTAGGTGACGTCATGTACGTGCACGCATGATATATTTTGCGTGCACATCAACGTGCCTATAGTCACTGGGTATGTTATCGACTAGGGCAGATACAATGAAATGGTACATACATACAGTCACACCCACATAATGGCTATCATTTGAGTGCTGAACAGTTTTTCAAAAAAGTTGATGGTTTTTGAGTTATAGGCAAAAAAAAACTAGGACTACTAACTCAATTTCCACGAAAAAATTTTGGTGGTAAACCTGAATTCGTGAACAGCATCCTTAAAAACATACTAATATATCAAAAATGCATAACTACTCCAAAATTTGTTTATAAGTAACGACCTAACGACTGGACTATAATTCCACTGTTGAGTTTACTTTAAACAAAAACCATAATATAGGTACTCCAAAGAGTTGAACACTTCAGTATCTACTCTATACACGTTTGGCAAAATTGAATTTCCTATAGAGAAACCGTGTGGCAAACGATAATCCCTGCGGTCGGGCCGAAAAATAGAGTGGGTCGAAGGAGGAGGAGCTAACGAGATACCACAGGCGATACGAACCGTATGGCAACGTCGCCGTTGTCTTCGTTACAATGCCCATGCACAGAATGCACACAGTTTCCCTATAAATGTAATATAAATATGATATAAATTTATTTTTGCCAGACGTGTATATTCTGTACCTCGAACACAACCAAAATGACGAACAAATTCATATTATTATCATGACACAGAAAACAAGAAACATTCGGATCGAAGATATATTACCTTGAATCAGTGGCGCACCCAGGGGGTGGCCTTTGGGTCTCGAGCCCCTCCTCGAAGACAAAGTGTCAGAAAAATATTCTTGGAATGGAATAATGGAATTATAAGTTCGAAGAAATCGATACCCGGCCACTAAATGCCATGCAAAGCTATATAGTTTGTGATCAAACCTTATATTCGAATATAAATGTACTCCTTAAAATTTCTGTAACACTTCTCATAACTTCCAGTACGGCTGGAAGGTCATTCTCATCATTGAGAACATTGAAAACTTACTTGAGAAGTACTACTGCGCAAAACTGGCTGAATGGTCTGGCATCACTTTTTATTCATAAAGATATATCAATGTCCCTGAGGAAATATTAGATAATATGACTTCTAAAAGAAGGAAACTAGATTTCTAAGAATTGTTGATATTGCACAAAATGTTTGTACCTACAGTATGATTTTTTTAATAGAAATTACATATGTCATATGTATCATTTTGTTTATCATTGTTTTTCATTTTCCCAGAATTGAACCCTAATTCATATATTTTACTATTTTCATTGGCTTCTATGAACCCCCTCCTCCCCAAGAGAAATTCCTGAGTGCGCCAGTGCCTTGAATCCCATATTTCCCATGAATCCCATAGTTTCCATGAAATTTATCGAGAGCTAGCATTTTTGCGAGGTGATTATATCCATTATCAAAATACAATATTTTTGATGATTTTGAAAATTGGTTGACTATCAAATACGAAAGCAAGTCGTGGAAAACATCCATTTTCTCGAAGTGGTCCAAATACGAGATCAAATACTATCAATAGTTGGAACCGAGCTTGGAACTATCAATATAAAATCGATATGTGACGTAAATTCGAGGGGTAAATCTCCAGGAAAAATGTGTACACCAGACTTCCAATTAACATAGACTTCCAAAAGACTTCCAAAGACATTCAAAGACTTCCAAATACTTCCAAAGACTCCCAAAGACTTCCAAAGACATCCAAAGACTACCAAAGACTTTCAAATACATCCAAAGACTCCGAAATACTTCCAAAGACATCCAAAGAATTCCAAAGACTTCCATTGGAGTGTACACCAGACTTCCAAGGACAGTATTTTGTAGTGATGTTATTTCTTCTCATTCTTATTGTTGGTGAAAACTCATTCAATGAAAGTTTGATTGATTGATTGATTGATTTAAAGAAAATATAAGTTTTTTTCCGACATAGATTATGCTTCAACTACTGTCGATGAAATCGTGTTGATTTTTAAGTTATTTAACGATAGTTTTGTTCCAGGAAAAAGGACGATGAGTCGGTAATGGAAATTAGCGGCCTCAAAACTAGAATAAAACAGAAGTATGACGAGAAAACGAAGCAGAGCATCCTCACTGTTCAAAACCCCGTCGACACAGATTCCGGTACCTACAGCTGTAACATCGAAGCTGAAGGTATCACAGCAGAACTGCATGTGTCAAGTAAGTCATATTACGGAGCCTAGGGCCGTAATCCGAATTCGACTGTCAGGACCGAGGGGTAAATCAAGTAGGAAGTCCAGTGTACCCGAGACGGGAATTCCTCGGGAAGTCCGGGAATCAATAGGGTAGTCCAGGTATTCTTTGGGAAGTCCGAGAATTCCTTGGGAGGTCCGGAAATTCCTTGCCAGGTAGTCTTTGAGAATTCCGGGTATTCTTTAGAAAATCCGGGAATTCTTTGGGTAATTCCAGGAATTCCTTGGGTAGTCCCAGGGATTCCGGGAATTTTTTCGACAAAGGGAGACTAGTGTACCCGAAATTGGCCTGTGATTCACCCGAGGATTCACCCCTCGCTCAGGACTCAGTACCGAATCTGCTGAATTTTTATTCCAAAATCGACAAAATTCAATGAAAGTACATATCTCAAAGGTAAATATCGGTAAATATACTATCCATTCTGCATCAGTATGAAACCAGCCACGAGTCCCCGCCACGACTGGTTGGCCAATGGTACTTGAGGGCCTGCCTAAATTATCAACTTATTGGTATTTTGTAAAAAAATTTCGATAAAAAAGAGGACAGTGAAATATTTAGACACACAAACAAGTGGAAGACATTATTGCAAAATTAATCAACAGGACATGCGTTATAATTATAAAGCATGAGATACCAATTGATAATTTAGATTTTTTTATTAACATTATTAACCATTGTCTTCAATGAGGGCTGGGGGGGCAACTCAAAAAGCCCTCTTATAGGTCCGCCAACGGTCGAGGCGTATACAAAATCGGTTTGGTTAGTGGTAAAACAGTGTAGTGTATTATCGTGCCAAAGGTTCCAGTCTGATATCAACACAAATTCATCATAATTGCAATAACAGTAATACACAACATATAAGAGGAAAAATTACAAGAAAATGGATATTTTATAACTAATCAAGAATATTACCAACGCATGATGGAGAATTCATGAAGTAATAAATAAATCATATTTCTGAAGTTTCCAGTCGTATTTCCACATATGGCAACTGCGCAACTGGTCTGCCCCTACTCAGGAAATCGTGACATCGGTTTTTATTAGCGGTAAATTTCTAGTCGTTTGAAAAGTACTGTGACAATATTGATGATCTTAGCACCTTAAAATCGACCGAAAAAATATAATAAAATAAGGAATTGAAAGGTAATTGAGTAATGATTCTATTTTGGAAATAATAAAAGTCCACTTGCCTATTATTATAACTTGGACATTCCAAATTTGGCGAAATTCGGAGAAACTATATTATTATCATATTAGATAAATGGAAATATGGAGCAAAATCTCTCACTTGTCATCCTCTTTCAAATATTTATCGGTGAACAAAACACCCTGTATATGTTTTCTCTTGCATTCTAATTATATCTTAGTAATCACTTTGCTTATTTGCTTTGCATTGTTTACTTTATCATGGTAAATAATAGAGTTACAAACAAACTTTTCTTCTGGTGATAACTGTACAGAGAAAAAATAGTTCAACATGATGTTCCTCTTTTATCATCACAAATACAGTGTGTCCCACTTACCATGCTCACCATGGGTATCTTTTTAACGGTGAGAGATACGAGGTCGGTTAAATGACACCAAATGTGGAGTTTGTCAAGGCCAACTATAATGTGAAAAAAAAATTGATAAAATCTATTCGTTTTTGTGTATACGCAAAAAACAGATTTTGATCATTTTCATGTCTCCTCCGTAACTTCTTTATTTATGAATAGTAATTTCGAAAAAAATATGAAATTTATTCCAACTCTTCTAGAATTTGAGATATCAGCACCAACTTGAGTTTTTCAAATGTAGGTCATAGCTCACTATGACTTAGCTACAAACTCGGCTACAAATAACTTTTTTTTCTCTCACAGATGAAATGTCCCAGTAATAGTTGTGTGTTGATAACAATTAGTTATCGTCATTTATACAAAAACAAACAATTATTTGGAAGCCACCATCTTGAATTTATAAATTTTAACAAAAAATCATGATCTCCGACCTCAAAAACCCCCACTCACCAATTTTGAATGGAATCGGGCCAAATCTTGTCCGCCATCTTGGAGCAGTAATTTTTTTTTAATTTCAACAAAAATTCCATAATGTATTGTCACCGAAATTATGAACACCTGCCAAATTTCAAGTTAATCGGAGTTATGGAATTTTTGTTGAAATTAAAAAAAAATGGCTGCTCCAAGATGGCGGACAAGATTTGGTCCGATTCCATTCAAAATTGGTAAGTGGGGGTTTTTGAGGTTGGAGATCATGATTTTTTTGTTGAAATTTATAAATTCAAATTGGCGGCTTCCAAATAATTTTTTGTTTTTGTATAAATGACGATAACTCAATTGTTATCACCACAAAACTATTACTGCGACATTTCATCTGTAAGAGAAAAAAAAGTTATTTGTAACTAAGTCATAGTGAGCTATGACCTACATTTGAAAAACTAAAGTTGGTGCTGATATCTCAAATTCTAGAAGAGTTGGAGAATGTGAAATTCCTATTTGAATATTTTCATAAATAAAGAAGTTACGGAGGAGACATGAAAATGATCGAAATCTGTTTTTGTGCGTATAAAACAAGAACGAATAGATTTTATCAAAATATTATTTCACGTTATAGTTGGCCTTGACAAACTCCACATTTGGTGTCATTTAACCGACCTCGTATCTCTCACCGTTAAAAAGATACCCATGGTGAGCATGGTAAGTGGGACACACTGTATAAGATGACCATTATAAGAACCATTATAGTCCAAGAGCCGGATGCAAATTGCAAAGGCATGTTAACACATTGTATTTCATCAAGCGGCACTTGTGCAAACTGATTGAAAAATCGCACTTCCCTGTGCGGTAATTTGCACTCAATTTCTCGATTTGATAACGAAATAAGACTTTGCCATCTGATACCAATTGAGTGGTAGATCTCAAAACCTACCTGTGCCACCCCTCAATCTGAGCCAAATCCCCGCCACAGCGATTTATTTGAAGCCATTATTCCGAGTTGAATGATGTCCCCTTTGCGAGTATTCAAACAGGGCCTACTCTATCTCACCGGGCCGTAGGTAACGGCCGTAGTCTTTTCCCTCTCTCTCGACGCTGACGTAGGTTGAGATTTCACATCAGTCCGTACTGGTGCGTTCGTAATTGATAGGCTATAGATCATTTACTATACATTTTAGAAGCACACTCAATCGAGACGAAATGATCCCCAACGAATTCCTCAACTTTTGGTGAAAAAATGAATCCAATAGGATGATTCAATACCGAGTTATGGCGTTGTAACGAAAATGCATTTTATTGAAAATCAGGACGTTGTACTACAGAATACTATTTTTTGCAAATTTGGAATTGGAATAAGATGAAACTAACTCAATATATCAAACTACGATAATGAATCAATTGAAAAAATTGTAGAGTTACCTACAATGAGTCCGAAAGAAATTTAATATATAGAGCGCGTAAAAAATGGGCCATTATACCTACCTACCCCAATTTCGCTGTATTACGATTTCGCGGTAATTCCTTGGAATGGTAAAGGGCGATTATACTTTTCATTACTCATTTCATTTCTAAACGGCGTATGGTTCAGACCAACTAATATTGGTGTCTGAAAAATTCAATTCCCTTCCCTTCTCAATTATTCCGAGAATCAATGTTGCAGTTGTGGGTCTTTTGATGGAATCAGCAGAACATTCTCTAAAACCATTTCAAATATTCTGTTGAACAATTATTGCAAAAAAAAAATTTAAAAGAAAAATCACTAAACTTTCAGGATGAGATATAGTTTAGATATCAATTCTCAGTTTGTGATTTAGATGATGTATATACAGTGTCTTTCAAAAGTATCGGAACGGTCTCATATTTCAGGAACGGCTTGAAAAAAATTCACGAAATTTTCTACAGGGTGATTATTGATGATGTCCGATTCAATGGTGGCATCGGCAATGTTGCCAAGTTTACAGTTTTTCAGATATTAGGAGTAACTTCATTTTTTCAAATGGAATACCCCATTTATTTTTATTGCAATCAATTAAGCGCCTCCTAATTACTCGAGTCCCTGAATATCAGATTCGTAATTAACGTGATTTTCGAAATATGACAAAATAGCATTTTCGTTCAAAAGTTCTGGAACGGTCCCATATTTCAGAAACTGCTCAGAGAAAATTTATGAAAACTTCGACAGGATGGTTGTTGATGATGCCCGATTCAATGGTGATATCGGCAATGTTGCCAAATCAACAGTTTTTCAGATATTTAGGGTAACTCAATTTTTTCAAATGGAATACCCTATTTGTTTTCATTGCAATACATTCAGCGACGCCTCATTACTTATGTCTCCAAATATCAGATTTTAAATTGAAGTGGTTTTCGAAATATGACAACATGGCATTTTCGTTCAAAAGTCTGGGAACCTTCTAATATTTTCAATACGGTTCAAGGAAAATTCATGAAATTTTATACAAGATGGTTTCTGATGATGCCCGATTCAATGGTGATATCGGCAATGTTGCCAAATCAATAGTTTTCCAGATATTGAGGGTAATTAAATTTCGTCAAATGGAAAAGCCTATTTATTTTCGTTGCAATCAATTCAGCTCCCCCTCATTACTTATGTATTCAAATATCGAATTTAAAATAAGTGTGGTTTTCTAAATATGAGAACATGCTCCGTTGAAATGTCCGCGAACGCTCCAATATTTTCAAATGGGCACGCAAAAATATGAAATTTTATTGCGATCAATTCTGAAAAACTGTTGATTTGGCAACATTGCCGATATCACCATTGAATCGGGCATCATCAACAACCATCCTGTCGAAGTTTTCATAAATTTTCTCTGAGCCGTTTCTGAAATATGGGACCGTTCCAGAACTTTTTAACGAAAATGCTAGGTTGTCATATTACGAAAATCACGTTAATTACGAATATGATATTTAGGGACTCAAGTAATTAGGAGGCGCTTAATTAATTGCAATAAAAATAAATGGGGTATTCCATTTGAAAAAATAAAGTTACTCCTAATATCTGAAAAACTGTAAACTTGGCAACATTGCCGATGCCACCATTGAATCGGACATCATCAATAATCACCCTGTAGAAAATTTCGTGAATTTTTCTCAAGCCGTTCCTGAAATATGAGACCGTTTCGATACTTTTGAAAGACACTGTATATATTTTGTTATGTTGATCATTTTTACAGTTTATTTTGTTTGGTTTTGTTTGTGTATAAGGATTTTTATTTTTTCCTTATTCATTCATATATCGTTGTTCTGGGTATTTTGTTATTCAGTTCGTTAAATTCATATTTATATTTCTTATTGTTGAAATACATATTTTTTCAATTATTTTTGTCAGGTTGTGTTTATATGAACTCCACATATTTTGTTATTATTAATTTTGATAGTTTGCAAATATATCCAAATCAAATTTTTTTCATGAATTCAACGTTATCATTCAAATATATACTCTTCAGCAGAAAATAGTTAATACCGAATAGGCGTTTTTGTGTTATAGCACTCGAGTGATAGGATTTCTAACGTCATCAAAGTGCGTCCTGATCATCTTTAAAGATAAACGCTGCTGAAACCCTTCGAGATAAAGTGGATGTGTATCATACCGATTTGTAGGCAATCAAATGTCCTACAAAAAGTCAGAGACAGCATATATCCATAGTTGATAGGATTAGCATGGGTGGCGTCCGAACTTTTTGAACTATTCTGTAATGAACACCTGAATCATCGTTCTACTTGAATTGAAATATCGGTTTGTTGTTGGTCCTTGGGAATTTGAAAAAAAACTCAGTCATCTAGATATTATGCGAAATCTTTTCATGATTGAATCATTTCTGTGAATTGAATATTGGAATTTTGGTAGCTGTTTAAAAAAGAACAAATCTGAATGGCGTCAATTAATTTTGATATGCCATATTTCTGAAATTAATGATCCTAAATCAGTGAAATTTGATTCATCTTCTGGAAAATTCTGCTCTGTACATATTTGACCTCTTGATATTTTTCGCTAACTGTGACCGTTTTCCCGAGGTGAATCAATGAAATGGGAGAGACAATTTCCACTGCGTTGATTTTGTCCCTACTAGTGTGACGTCACGAAAGCGATGCTCCGGCCCGGTGAGATAGAGTAGGCCCTGATTCAAACGTGCAGAGATTCACGGTTATAAAATATAGTATGATGATATATTCTGTGTCTCACATGTATTTTTTTTGCAGTGAAAGTTTACGTAAAAGTTAATGAAAATATCAACGTCGTGGAGGAAACACCCTTGAGAATAGAATGTAAGGTGGTTGGTAATCCCGTATTGCACTGGATCTTCAGTAAGTTTCAACAAAACAACGTTAGATTATGGAATAAATTGATTTTTCTTCAGAAAACGAGACGTACAATGCATCAAGAGATCGCGTCATCCTGGGAAATTACACAGATGATAACGATAAGTTCATCGTGAATGGGGTGTTCATAATTGAAAAAATTGACAAGAGCGACAGAGGTCATATCACTTGTGTAGGAGAAGATGCGTCAGTGAACCAAAGTGCAGAATCTGAATGTATGGTCAGAGTTATAGGTGAGTTATCTATCAATCTTTGGACATACAGTGGTGAGAAATGAGTTGACTCTTACCCTTCATCAGCCTAGAGCTGACTCTGGCAGGTTATTCACATTTAACAGGTGTCAACTCACTTGAATTCTTATGTGAAAGTTGTTATTGTAGTGTTCTGAATAGACCTCAAATCTTTATTGAAAAGAATCCATCTAAATGATAAAAAGTGAAATTCAAATGGGTAATAAAAACAAACTAATGCAAGCATCAATGGCGAGGTCTAGAATTGAGTGACTTGAAACAATTGAAAATTTTAATAGATTCACTCGAGGGGTGTACACCATGGAATGTTAAGTACTTTAAGTAACATTTTCAATATATTAAGTACAATTTAATAAGCTTTTGAGTACTTAAATACTAAAATTATTAATGTAAGTAACTGTTTTAGTACCTTAAGTACCAGTTTTAAATATTTTAGGTACTTGTAAGTACTCATTTTGGGTAGTTGTTTCCCCCTCGGATTCACGTCAGGAAAATTGAAATGATTCATGATATGAAATCTCCGTAAAAAAATTATGTATACATAACTGGTTCTGTGAACCCATTCAGTGAACTTGATTTATCATACAGGGTGTTCCTTGAAAAGCAGGTATATTTCTGGAATGAAAATAATATGATTTTCATAATGTTAATGGAAGGGAGGAAAGCCCAAAGTCATCTCCACAATGATGTAAACAGTTAATTAATCAATTAATCATCAATTCCGTTTGAAATTTTTTACTTGTTTTTATTATTCTCAACTGGAGTATTTGATAAGATATTGTTTTCAAATTTGGTACAGTGCTTTGAAATCATTTGAGAAAAATAATACACCAAACAATTGCGTGTAGTACTCGCTCATATGATTTAGAGTTTATAGTACTCTGGAGAACATATTATTTCAGGACTGTTCGTAAGTGTTGCTCAATGTATTAATATTAATTTGTTTTATTAGGGTCAAAAGTGACACTATGTTTGACAAGCGAAATTTGCATTTGGGAGGCGGAGCGTCTAGCAAAGCCAAGCGAAAGCAAAATTTGCGAGTCAAACAAAGTCACTTTTGATCCGTATGGAATATGCTATTTTTTCTGCAACCTAAATAATTGGCTAAAATAAATATGTGAAGTAACCACCACTTGCCAGATTATTATAATACCTTTATTATAATAATATGAGCAAGTAGATAGAAGCAAGACCTTATTTTGTTACATTTTGTGTACAAATTCAATACTATACCTGGAACCTGGGTGCCGTGCCATATGTATGCAATGCAACAAATAATCCGTGTGGTGAGAATATTCTACCTGCATTTACAGATTAGGTTTATTCAATTTTCAAGGATGTTCGAATTGTAGTTTCAATGTAAATACAACCACAGAGTCGCCCTATTGAATCGATAAATTCATGTGGACCAGGTGACAGGTGTCAGCCCTAATTGCAAATACCGCGCCAGTGTCAGGTATGGGCAAAAGAAGTGGAAAATGTTAGGTTAGTGAGCATTTCAAAGATAATAATAGTGATTATTTATTCCTATCCATATTCTACTGTGTTTGGCTCGGTAATCAAATGAGGTTAAACAATATCGTTGTGTATTGTTGGCCGTGATTATTCAAAAACAAGTTATCCATCCCGAGAAAAAGAAATGAAATACAGATCAAGCAAGTATGTGAATCTTGAAGGCTTTCCTGATCAAAACAAAAATACTCAACCATGAAATGGTGTATTTATATCTCCAGCATGGGTATGAAATGCCGAGATCGGAAACAATCGGGTATGCGTCCCAACCCAAATAACCAACCATTACAATGTTGTTTATTCTTGATGACCTAGTACATCCTTTTTAGTTCCTAGAAGCTAAAGTAAGAACTAAAAGTGTTGCCTAGCAACATACCTATGTTTGTGTCAGTAATAGAAACGTCAATTCAAGATCTAATTTTGGATTAAAATGGACGGCTTTTGTGTCGGTTGCAGAAAACGATGATGTCTTTCCGCAAAATCCCTAATAACGGGACATGTTTCGCTAACACAGTAGCTTCTTGCTTCTTCAAGTGAAATACTCGTTCGTTGATGATCAGAATTACCTGTGGAAAGGTTGGGTGAGCCTTAATTTTCGGAAAGTACGCATAATCTACATTTTACTTCGGTGTACCTACCAACTTGAAAAAGTTGGAAGCACATAATATTATCAACTACTAAGAAGACAAATTCAACAGAAGCGGATTATCGACATGTTGGGAAGGTTTATCAAAAATTATAAAGACAAGCATTTTCTGCTCCCAAATAATTTTAAATTCGAAAAATGAGGGGTATACAAACTTAACTGTGGATCTTGGCCTAGGCTGTCAATCTCTCTCCTGCCTAGTAAAACAAATAACTATTTCTGGATTTTCCACAAAAATGGGGATTTTCATTGAAACAAATCCACTCACATAAATGTTTTTTTTTTTTTCAGATAAATATGCTGCTCTTTGGCCTTTCCTAGGAATCTGCGCTGAAGTTATTATCCTTTGTGCCATTATTATTATATATGAAAAGAAACGTAATAAGTCTGAAATGGAAGAGAGCGACACAGACCAAAGCCCAGACCAGTAAGTTAATTGAACTTGATATTATCCAAAGTTATAACACCATTCCAGTGTTCACAGTCAATGTCTATGACTCTATGAGTTGTCTGAATATCTCTATAAATTCATCTTTTCATTATGACATACTTGGAAGCAGTCCAACATCCAGAACCGCATTTTGTGTTCATGAAACACTTCTAGTCTATTAATATTACCTAGATGAAATTCGTACAATAAACTTCATTAATTCTAACTGAGTGAAAGTTATATAGGGTGATCAATTTTGAATATCTCATGGAATTCGAGAAAATGTTATTTTATTTTCATAAATATATCATGTCATTGGGCTCTGATACATTTCATTATTGGAAAAAATACCTAAATTATATATGCTTTTCTATTCATAAACGATAGACACTGTGCTATAAAGTATCCATTTTAACTTTTGACCCGCTGAATTTTTTTGCTCCAATAGATCTCTCCTTCAAAAATTGTTACTTTCCAGAGGAACTCAAATCTGCCAGATTATTCCTGTTCATACAAGTGGAAATACTCATAGCACACAAAATTTCGACCGATTACCCTGCTGTCTGTTTCCTCAAAGTTCTTTAAAAAAGCCTTAAGTAGTCGTCTTTTGTCATTCTTTCATGCTAATAATATTCTCATTCCAAGACAATTTGGATTTTTGAAATCAAAATCAACTCAAGATGCCCTTATATCCATTTATGGAGCAATTTTTAAAAGTATTGAAAAGGAATATCCTCAGATATATTATGAAAATGAAGAAAAGTATAGATACATTTAAAGAAATACATTCACATTCTCTATATGTGATGAAAATATTAATTATTTCTCAGTATATTCAACAGATAACAATAACTTTCTTGGCTATATGCCACGACGAACATTGAATTGTATCTATTGAACACACATGATAAGAATTTGAAAATAAAATCTGAAGTTGAGAAATTGCATTCTCTTTCAGATAAAATATATGTCTATGTAATATCATTCTGAACATCCAAGAGAAGGGTATATGAAAATGAAAATCTTCTAAAATTGAGAACAGATGAATCGCTTTCAAATCGGATGAATAATTTGATGTATAATGATGTAATAGTATATTATTCAACGAGCACATAATGATGGCTATTAGAATACTATACTTTATCTACAACTATTCAAATATCAAAGCAACTCTTAGAGTTCAGAAATATATCTTTGGAAATAATGAAGGTTATTATATTGCAAAATCACTAAATCTGATTTGAAATACTCATTAATTTCATTGAAAACTTATTGACAGAATTTTCAATCAATGAGTTTATAACTTATTATAATAATTGTGATTGTGAAAATATGATAAACAATGTTGGATCTAACTTTTATTATTAGGAAAAAAGTCGTGCGATCACATATCAGTCAACCTTACCAGGTATTATATGCCATTTCACTTTTCTGTTGTAAAATGAATCATACAATTGCAGATTATTCATTTACTTGCTTCCGCCGTAGCATTCCCCCACCGCGATGATTAATTGTACTACCCTGTCTCTAGACGCTAGTTACCAACAATGAAAGTCCATGGTTCTGATTGGTCTGTACTAATCTATTCGAATAGCCGGCACATAAGTGTGAGCCAGATATCTACTATTTCTATATATGGAGCATCGTCTATACGATATCTCAACAAAAATGGGACCAAAATGAGAGGTATTTCTGGAATCTATAAGGACGGAAAGTGAAGGATGAAAAATTTGAAATTAGTAGCCATATTGTCGTATTATTTTTCCCTACGTCGGCATCAACGCCTATTGGTCCATTTCGTTACCTATAGAGACAGAAGTTGGTCCTGCTATGAGGACACCTATGCTTCATATATGAGTAGTATATGGTGTGAGCCAATCTGCAACTGTCAAGTCCTATTTTATGGTTATGGTTACTCATGATGGTAGTCACTGTTGAGAATGAAAAACAGTGAATTCTCATTTTTCCATGTATTTGTAGAATTAAGGTGATTAAAACTATGAGAACCATGGAAGGTGAGTCTTGAATTTGCGTGTATTTCACAAATAGTAGTATAGTGGTGTGCTTCAGTAGAACTAGTAGAACAAATACCTACCTAGTTGAATTTGACAATACGATGGGATGTCAGATTATCATGCCATCCTTCTGTCATTATTACTCTTATTACTTGATTCATCACAATAATGTCTGTCATTAAATGTTGAAAATCGAGTTAGCAATGTATGAATGACTCCATAGTTGTAGATAAAAAAATATAACTTACCAATTATATTCAGTATCGAGATGAAAATTGAAATGTATAGGAAAAATATACTTGTACAAACTTTGATCTTCTTGAGTTTAAAGTTATCAAAAATTATTCATACCATGATGTCTGGGATAATAGGTACATCTCTCACAAACAGGTTATATAACTTTATTCCAATGAACTCGTTTTAGGTATCAAACCTTTCAGTAACCTGAAGTCGAGTTGTTATTCTTTCAGCCATTCTTCATGAAATACATAATTTTCATCTTTCTATAGTATAACTAAAATTATAACAAACTGACATCTGAGAATTATTTGTTGAAATCCAACTCCTGTCATCTGGGTATGCTTTTGTCAATTATCAATTTAAGAAGTTTTTCATTTTCATGTTTCCTCTTAGATTTTCAACAGATTTAATTAATGTACGACGTGGCAGGAAAGTAGTTGTTTTCTGTTGAATATACCAAGAAAGAATTAATATTTTCATCACATAATTATAGATAATGTGAATTCTCAATGTATTTCTTAAAATGTTTCTATACTTTTCTTCATGTTCATAATATATCTGAGAATATTCCTTCTCAATACTTTCACAACCAATCAAGGGGTTCACACTTGAATGATGGAAATTTGTTATTTTTATAGACCTCTAATCGCAGATTCGTGATTGAGTTTCCTCAATTCAGAATGTCTTTCCATGTCCTGTATGAAAAACTTTAACAACAAACTGAAATCCATTGGTTTGTTCTATGACTACTCTCGTGTTTTTGATGTCCTAAATCACAATATCCTATTAGTAAAGCTTTATTGGTATGATTCGTGGTCCTACGCATAGCTGGCAGTAAACAATTCCTTAAATTATTCATAAACAACATTAACCAATGTTCGGATTCTGTAATGACAACCAGTGGATTCCCACTGGGCAGTATACTAGGACCGATCCTATTTGTTTTCATTATCAACATTAATGATATGCTAGGTGCTAGTGATTCTTCAATAATAACAATTCGGTGATGACACTAGTGCAGCAATCGCCGGCAAAAGCGTACCTAATGTACTTTATTCAGCAAATAAAAACATAGTGGCCTCGTTCTAAATAAGAAAAAACTAATTTCATGAATTTCACGCCAATAGGTGTCAAACCAGACTACAGCCTTCTTCTGAAATGCGATGGTGAAAGCATCATTTCAGCTGAGGAGGAAAAGTTTCTGGGTCGATGGCTGGATCCTCATCTAGCATGGGACAACCAAATAGCCAATTTGATAAAAAACCTAGGGAGCAATAATCTTTTCATATAATCTTTCATAATCTCACATGGGCTGATTTGCTGGGGAAAATTACAGACACCCCCATTAAGTACTAACTTGGCAAAAGCGCATACTGAGGAACGCTACACCTCAAGCCTAGCATTTCCTGTTGAAAACATTTTCGCGACACGGGTATTCTAACTCTCTATAACTTGTATTTTCTTCAGTGTCTTACCTACTTGAAGAAAAATGTTCATAATTCTCAAACATTTGGGAAGAGATCCCTATTGTACTAGGGCTGCAGATACAATTTATTTTCCACCATACTCATTAACCCAAGTGAAGAACGGTCCTAAAGTCACAGCTATCAAACTGTACAATCACTTACCTGGTACAATTACTGGGAGTATCTCCTTGTATTTTCTTCAGTGTCTCACCTACTTGAAGAAAAATATTCATAATTTTCAAACATTTGGGAAGAGATCCCTATTGTACTAGAGCTGCAGATCAGGGTTGGCACGAATTATTTCATATGAATTAAGTCAGTGATTTAATTCGTGAATTAATTCAGATGACTTTTTTCAAATAAGTCATGAATTAATTCAAAAGTTATCAAATGGGAACAAATCTCATTATTACCTTCAATTTAAACTAGTTTTAAATGAAATATCCGATGGTATCTGACAACTGATAACCGTGAAGCATCCACAAGCGGAAAACTCAATTTTCTAAGAGCCCGCTTTACAGTTTACAATTTTTCATTGCATGCAATTGATTACTCCAATTCGTACTTCCGGCAAAAATAATATTTAGGCCATTCAACACTGAATCGGAATTACCAGCTTGTAATGTCTTTTTATCATAGATTCTGTGTATTACTTCTCACCGAGTTTTGAGTTGGGTCGAGAGTTGGGTCGAGAGTTGGGTAGAAGAAACCATGAGAAAGGCAAGAAAACTTAGATCCAATGTGCATCTAATGATGCATGAAATTCCGAAAATCTAACATGTCACCACTAGAATTGCACTAGTAATACAAATTACCGCAATATAAATAAATATTTCCGGACTCATTTCTTGCAATGCAACGAAAAATTGCTTTCCAAGGTAACACTAATCCGTAGGCGCGCCATGGAAATTGCTGCATTTTTTTGAAAATAACTGTCAAGTGCCTCTATAATGAAGATTGTGAATGAGCAATATAAATTGCATAAACATCATGTTTCATTCAATCAATAGTCTCAGTTTGTATTGCAAAAATGGCATATTTTAAGTATTTTATTGTTATGCTTTGAGATGAATCAATTAAAAAAAGTCCGAATTAATTCAAAAAATCGGGCTTTTTTTACTTTTTTTATAAAAGTCATGATTTATTCCAACCCTGCTGCAGATACAATTTATTTTCCTTCATACTCATTAACACAATTGAAGATCGGTCCTAAAGTCACAGCTATCAAACTGTACAATCACTTACCTGGTACAATTACTTGGAGTATCTGTTTCAAACAGATTATCTCGAAAATTACAATTAACTGCAAGTTTTCTTAGACAACTTTGAAGTGTTTGATGTAATGTTTTGGTGATGTTAATGTTAGTCTATATTTACGTTTTATATATTTTTCTGATCATGACAGTGCCTATACTGATAATATGTTAGTCAATGTAAATAAAGGTTTTGTATTTGTATAGAGAGTTGAAGGATACAGAAGAGCACATTAATAGTAGTCTTGTTAAAAGGATCCTGCTATTAGATTTCAAACATGTTTATCTGACATTTTGTTTTGTATGAATATTTTTTACAGACATCTAATATACAGATTCGAAAGACGTTGTGAATGAGGTTCCACTTGACCCCCCATTCCATTTGAAAATATCTCACAAAGTGGCGTCCAGTCGCCAAAATTGTAGAAAAATGAAAGCCTAAAGTTCCAAAATGGCGGCTGAGCGCCATCTTGAATTTTTGTTATCAATGGATCACCTAGTATATGTCTGCCAAAATGTTTTGCATTTGACAGTTTCGACACCTTTATACACAAATTTGAACCCAAAACTTCGAATCAGCGAACATGACATTATTAGCTTCACTCATCATTGCCAATTGAAGTCTTGTCAATCATTCTGCCGACTGGGCACAGCTTCCAACATTTGTTTCAGACTCACAATTAGTCCAAACATATTAGAAAGTAGTGCGATTGACCAAGCAACACATTTCCAAATTACTGGAAAGTTAATTAGAAGGTTTATCGCCACATACGATAGATCGCTTCTGTTCACATACACCACGAAAAATGTTTCGCATTTGACACCTTTGTACACAAATTTGAACCCAAAACTTCGAATCATGAAATCATTAGCTTCACTCACCATTGCCAATTGAAGTCTTGTCGATGAATCTTCCGACTGGGCCCAGTTCACAGCTTCCAATATTTGTTTCAGACTCACAGTTAGTCCAGACACATTAGAAAATAGTGCGATTGACTATGCACCACATTTCCAAATTACTGGAAAGTTTATTAGAAGGTTTATCGCCACACACGATAGATCGCTCCTGTTCAGATACACCACGAAAAATGCAGACACCTCTAGAATTCTTTTACACGATAGATTTTCATAATTCATAACAGTATTATCATTTGAAAAGTAACATTATGATCATTTCAAACCCAACCGAAAACTCGAATGTTGCTTTCAATCAGCTTCGATTCAGAAATAATCAATGTGTTACAGCGAATGTTAGTAAAATTTTAATAGAAAAGCAGAAATAGACCTAGAACAAATATGGTTCAGTCATAAATTACTGACTGTTGATTATGAGAAAATATTTTTAATGCCCTTTTCTGATAGTACAAAATGTCTACCGATATTATGATACCCTAATAATAGGAAACAATTCAAAATATATAATTTTAAGTGCAAAAACCCATTTTAAATACTGAGGTGTTTTCTTACCTGAGATGGGATGTTCATATTAAGAAAACTACAAATACAATCAGGTTACTGCTTTACCCATTCAAATATTTAAAAAATATTTTGCATATCCATCACTCGAAAATATTGTATTACTCGCTAGTCGAAACCAGATTACATTATGGTATATTGAGCTGGGGTGGAGCCGCATTTGGCCACGTATTACAGAAACGAATCATCAAAATCGTACCTAACAAAAACCGACCTACCAATCTAATGCATTATTCGGCAATATTAATTGGAATTTGAATTAAGATTTCACGAAAAAGTAGGTCACTTCATTCGTTTTTCCCTGCTCTTTTCAAATATCGAAACAGATCTACATCTGCCATACAGAGTGTTGTTTTTGAAATAAAATAAGTTTTCTGTTTTTCCTCAAGACGGTCCTGGATTCTGATCCCGATTGTCATTTATATTTGTTGGGTAATATATTTCTACCAAGTATGTATAGAAGTGGTTCAAAAGATGACCAGATGAAGATTTTGCCAAAATCAAGATAACGTCCTGTATCTCAGTTATAAAAGACGGTAGACACATCCATGGGAGGTGGTTGCCCATAAAATATCGATATCTATCTTGTAAAAAATGCATTGGGATTATTAGTAATTTTCTATGAATAAATATACTTACATACCTTTATGTCAATAAGGCCGATAAGATAATCACGTTTACATTGAATGATATTGATAAACTGTTCTTCAGTTGATGTCATGGCGACTAGATTTCATCGGAATGAAAAATAATCCAGATAATCTCGAAATACTTTCGTTAGTTTTACATGATTGGTCATGATACTATACAGATTGGAAATAATAATGGCTTAGAAATTGTTATAATAGCTATTATAGAAGAATATTAGACATTATTGCGAATAGTAGACTCTACTTAATTCACGACTAATATTACTTTAATGTAATAATATATGGTATACTGCAAAAATCACGAATAATTCCTACAATATATTTCAGTCGTAAATAAAAGTTATCTCCACGATTACCTCGAAATCATATAATAATGGTGCCTGATTAATAATGATATTTTTCAATATTCACTTATCATGGTGCATAAATAACTATCACTATTATCTACCGACAATAATGATTCTTTCGCTCTTATTAGTAGAAATTACAAATATTTTACATCATTTTCTGAAATTGATTCCTATTTGGAATATCACTTACTGACAATCCTTCATCTCAACAGCAGAAAGCCGTATATACTGTGGATCATACGATCCAAAATGAAATTTCCCTTACAATTTTGAATAATCCTCCAATAGAAATCAACCAACTAACTAATTATGCCATGCAAATTTTCCAAACCACTAATTTTCTGGTAAGTATTCATCAATTGAGTTATCTGACAGCATCTGTATTATTTGCTAAAATGAAAAAATCGAGGAATGAATTGGCACCCGCGCGAAGGTAAGGGAATTGCCAATCCAAATGGCTCGCGCACTGACGTCACACGTTTCCCGACTATGTCTGATCGTTTGAATTCGCTCCTTCATTTTGGGATTTTCTCCTCGTTTCTATAAAATAAAAGTATTCGTATTATTTCTATATATTTGTAAAGGGACAAATCGAATGATTTGCCCCAAAATGTCACTGCGTTTAACAAATTTTTCTATCAGGGAGTCTAAAAGTTTCGGGACCGATTCTGCTCCCGTTCTCAACATGTAAATGCAAAATATGTTTCTTTGAAAGTTGTGCTACTTATAGTTTGACACTTTTCAGTGTCATACTGATGTTGACATATGAATGAGTGATTTTAGTCTACAAATGAGTAACAGGATGGATTTCATTAATTGATCTTGAATCTACCATTTTCATGTTCAGTTTTCAGTAGTGAATACCATATGTTCTATCTATATCAAAGATAAGTAAAAATTTGATATTTTTTCAATATATCTATATTTCTTTCCTTCAAACATTTTCTCAAACAAATTGTCACTGACAAGCTACTAGATTTTTATTTTAGACTCCCTGATAGAAAAATTTGTTAAACGCAGTGATATTTTGGGGCAAATCATCTGATTTGTCCCTTTACAAATATATTGAAATAATATGAATACTTTCATTTTATAGAAACGAGGAGATAAAATCCCAAAGAATCGAGTAAAATGAAAATATTTCAAGTTATTCCAGAGCCTTATATTACAAGATATATTTTTTCTAGAACTGACTGGAAAGGCCATTGCAAACAAGAACCATGCAAACTTTCAAAATTCAAAGTGTCGATTATTAATTTCGTGTCAAATAGCTGGCGGCCGTTATTTCGCTGCTATGGTAGTGATCATCTGCATTTATCAAAACCATATCTATGAATATTTTCATAGTTACAATGACAACAACAATACGATACTTCCCGGACGGTTGAGGATAAAATCTGAAAACATAGTTCTATTGCGCTTTTCATTCACCGTACAGTTCTGGCCAGTAGGACGAAGGACCAATAATTTCACCAGCCAATGAAGCACACCAAACAAGTGCTTTGTGTGTTTGAAAAAGGGCGTGAAAAAAAAATACCAAGAGAGATTTTGCAACAGTGATTGCCGGAAGTGAATTTACAATTTGCAAGTATCGCTGTGGCGCAAATCTTCATGGTGAAAAAACAAAATATTCTGAGCAGTAATCATGTATTTTTTGTTAAATTAACTGTCACTAGAAACAGACCTGGTTATTTGGAAACAAACCTTTAATAAAAAACCTTTTATAGGAAAAAAATGAATTAGTCACCAGCTTGGCTTGAGTAAATTTCCTATGTACTTCTGCTTGACATATAATCATCACCTTGATAATCTCCACTATTACAGTATATTAATATTAATCTGAATGAAATTATCCAAATATTGGATGTCATGAAGATCTTCTATCACTATTTGTTAATGCCAGCTTTGCTATCCACGCCATCCACTCTACTTCCCTCTGGACTATATACTTATCATAATTCTATCATTATTTTTCAGAAAAAACACACCTGATAATGGAAAAGACACCAACTTGAGGCACAGGCAGTGAGCGAAGAGTCCCGTGAAGATATAAACAGTACATGATTCATAAATCTAGAGATTTAACAGTTATTTGGTAATGTGTAGGCGGAACCATTTGGTTCTGCAACTTATGCCTGAAGATGATTGGAGGTACTGTACAAAAAATATATTCTAGGTTAGGTTTAAATTGTTATGAAGCCTTCCCACTTGTTTGCCTTAGATAACAGCCTTTTTATTGTAGGTTAAATGCATATTGTTTTATATTTTTGAGAGTTTTCTGTTACTTACGTTTCATTCGTACTTAAACATGTAGATATATTGTAAAATCATTGTTATGCAATCAAAGTGGCTGATATTTAATGTAAACCAAAGTCATACCGTTGTAAATAAATAAAATTTAAGAAGAAAAGTGTATACACTCCTATTGTATTGTTATAACATGGCATTTTTACTTGTGGACTGTTTATTTTGATTATCAGTTTTCACTCCTGTTGATGATGAAAAAAAAATTATCCAGAAATTTTCTATAATTCAAATTAATTTGAAGCTGGTGTATTCAGTAGTATTGCACTTCTCTGTCTTTTCTGATCGGTACTAATAGATTTCATCTAGTAGGGCCGCTCAAATGTCACTGCTAAGTACTCCATTGTAAACATTTCAATGCTGAAATGAAAGAACTTTCCATTTTATAACATTGGTTTTACAACCACATGTCTACTAATATTCTTTGTACTCATTCTCAAATAATCATACAAATATTTCAACTAGAATTTTATTTCAGTTACTATTATATTTTGTTATAATCGCAAATATCTAGACCAATATTGAGAAAGTGAACCTAAATTGAAATTTAAAGTTACTTCCAATAGATTGATGGAAAGTTTTGGAAAATAATCACCTTATTTTCATAATATTTACGGTGTATAGATGAAAAAAATCTTATAGAACCTGAAGTGATACATTCTCGTTTTAAACTGTATATAACAGCGAATGCAACTTGTGTCCACACTGCCAACAGAATGAGGTGAAATTTTTCAAAATTTAGAAATTGTCAGCAATTCCTTTCAAACGCTGAATTACAAAAAAGGCACTATCAGCATTGTTGTTGAATGTTTTCTTAATATGAACTAAACTCACTTATAATATAGTGAGCAATTTTCATAAATAATAATATATATATTACTAGAGATGTATCTTATAACAATAAAGAAGAACATAAGATGACTTGAAAGTAAATATTACTTTATATTTTACCCCGAAAACAAATGCATGGAATTATTTTCAAGTCATCATCATGCCTATAATTATTATAAATTATATACATACTATTGAGACAAGTATTTATTCAACTTTGAGGTGGAAATCAAAGTGGATTAACAAACAGCTGATAATGTTTTGGATTTTTTTTGCCTGACTGTCAATTCTTGGATATTTCCACCTTGAACGAATTTCTTCTAACTAGTAATTGCAATTTAGAGAATATAATAATGGTGCTTGCACGAGAATATTGTTGGTCAGTTCAATATACCTATAGAAATTCTCTCGGAAATCAACTGTGTTACATTGGGTTACAAAATACAAAGTCAGGCATTTCATTAATAAATAAAAAGATTTTTTAAGATGAGATTAAAATACCTACTTTGTTTGTCATGTTGAGAGATCTCACTCAGATTTACTACCATGTTTTCAATAAACCTTCAACAAGATCAGCATTTATTTCAATCCCTATAAACACATTCCAGTTATCAACTTACTTGTCATATTCATGAATTTTTTCTCTCCTAGGAAATATGTTTCGGCAGAAAGGAGGTAGTACTGCATGTTCACCTCACACCTCAAAGATATTCTTAAATAAATCTTTCATACTGTCTGTAGGTCAATCGATGTTCTACTCGTTTCTATAAAATAAAAATATTAATATTACTTCAATATACGTTTAGTAAGGACAAATCAGATGATTTGCCCCAAAATGTCACTGTATTTAAAGAATTTTCCTATTAGAGAGCCTAAAAGAAAAATTCACCTGCTTGTCAGTGACAATTTGTATTGAAAAAGGTTTGGAAAAGAGAACTAAAGGTATATAGGAAAAATATCAAATTTTCATTTAGCTTACCTTTCGGGAATGAATCTGCTCCCGGTTTCAACATAAAAAATGAATATTTGTATAGCAAATTCGTATTTGTCCTTACACTCCTGAGCTCTCAGTGAAAATTGGTGACGTTGGTAATCAAATGAGTTACAGGATGTTTTCATAAATTAATCTTGAATTTACCATTTTCAGATTTCAGTAGTGAATACCATGTTCTATCTATATCAATATCGACAAATTGAAACTAGCTGAACCTATCCTTACTGAAGATGGACAACATATGGCAGTGTCGAATAATATTGAAATCATAAATCGAAGAAGATAACAACTAGAAGAGAAAAATCAAGGAATCTGCTTGCGTTATTCTGAACGGAGACAATAGCAGTGCTTCCTGCTCAGTTGATTAAAACATGGTAATCACTACTGAAATCTGAAAATGAAAAATTCAAGATTAATTAATGAAAACATCCTGTAACTCATTTGATCACCAACGTCACCAATTGTCACGGAGAACTGAGAAGTGTCAAGACAAATACGAATTTGCTATAAAATTATCCATTTTTATGTTGAAAACAGGAGCAGATTCGTTCCCGAAACATCCAAAGCTATGTGAAAATTTGATATTTTTTCTATATACCTTCATTTCACTTCTCCAAACCTTTTTCCATACAAATTGTCAGTAAAAAGCTGGTGAATTTTTATTTTAGGATCTCTGATAGTGAAATTCTTCTCATATACGACTCATGGTGCTCATTAAGTGCCACTTCAATATGGAAGACCCCTTTCACTCTTCCGATCGTTGTTCTCGTCTACGAAGAAGGCCAAAAGTTTTCCTTCTACGAGTGACGGGGGAAGGGGTTGGTCCAGCCCTGTGGTGCCCTCTGCACAGGGCTAAGGCTACTTACTCTGAGATGTCGCCCTGTGTCCCAGAGGCCCCGTTAGCGACACCATACCTTGGACAGTGCTGCCGTTTTGGTACTTTTGTACTGAATTCAGTACCTTTTGGGTACTTTCGGTACGTCAGTACGACTATTTTTAAATCCTATGTTATTCAGTACCTTTTATGTTCTAACTCTAACTGAAGGCATTGCATAGATATAGATAAAGACAACAGAACACAGAACAGTGAACGATGGCAGTCAGTGGTGTCCGTGAATGAGTGATGTAACACATTTATTAATGAAACATTGTCAACGTCAGACCAGATTGACCAGAATATACTGTCATTCTGTGACATCACGAAAATTGTAAATTTTCAATTGTCATTATAAATATCTTATGTGTGATTACTTGGATTACAATAATAATAATAATTAGATAATTACAATCTACAGACATGAAAATGATAAAAACTAGATAAAAAATAGATATTCACTTCCACTTTCTATTGTACGGTGATTAAAAAAAAGCATAATAAAATGGAAAGGTGAGTTGAAATTGTATTTCTTGACCTAAACTAACAAATAACATATTTTTTTAGGTTTTTTAGGAAATATTTGAATGTTCTTTTGACATGTGTCAATGTCATAAATGTCATCAATAAAGTTCTGTCAAGACGCATAAAACTAAATTGTGAACATGATGAGTTCCGTGATGTCACAGGACAACAGAATTAGTGTTTGCTCGTTAATGTCTATAATCAGTGTACAATGAGTGCAAAGAAGTGCAACTTGGTGCATCATTTTTCGGTACGTTTCAGTACCATTTCGGTGAGAATTTCAGTACACAGCAAAAATTTCTAGCGGCAGCACTGACCTTGGATTAGGTTGCCAGAGCCTAGTTGACAAGTCCTCGGCCACCTAGACAAATATCAGCAAATCCCTGCCACAGATATCCACAAAATGTCCCATCTGGACGAAGATAGCAAAGATGTTCCCAAAATGCTTCATTTGTCGAGCGGCCGCGGTCTGTCCTCCCCACACCACTTGATGGTGAGGTTGGGCTTGAAGGGGAGGAGGAAAAGAGATATAGGCCGATAAATTGATTGAAAAAGGAAGAGAGAAGAGGATATCACCCAAGACAAGTTGAAGTATGGTGAATATCCGGCTAGGGTACCTCGGGTTCACCATTCCCGTACTCACAAGTTGTGAGCCCCTTAGGGGCCTCGATTAACCTACAGACAGTATTTGACAATACTTTATCTGATTCAGATCAAATTCAATTTTTTATATAGCTGTTATAACACTTTGTCTCTTACATTTAATTTTTTATCTCTTTTGTATTTTGTTGATCATTTTCACTATTTGTTCCTGTTTTTAAAATATTCAAATCGAATAAGTACCTATGTAATGGTATTTTGTGATATTTGTAAGTATTTTTAAATTGAGAATGTGATTATTTTTTAATGAGTGTTTGTTTTGTTTGGTTCAATTTTTTTGGAAATAGTTCACTTTTCTGTTTACTAAAAGTACATAATGTTTTGACCTCATAGGTTCATTTCATCATCCTTTCTTGGAATTTGTATAGCATAAAATAGATCTGAATTTTTAATAACCGTATTTACTGATGAAATAGAAATCGCAGTGGCAACCCTGGTCCGCACGGGGAGTGAATTGACAACAACTGTCATTTGCTGTCATCAAATTAATTATTCACGAAATCCGATAGATTTCACGTGTGAATAGGACCGTGATGTGGGTATGTGTTTTCGGTCGACGAAAAAATTTGATATGCACCTCGGCGAAAAACTGTATTGTCTTGCCTGATTGCTAGCCTCGGCTATCAATTTTCAGACTCGACTATAATATACAGTTTTTCGTCCTTGGTACATAAATAACTATTTTTTCATCGAAAAGTGTTTGCGGACGGAAGGTGTCTGCGGACGATAAATATTTGCCATAAAAAATCGTAATAGTAATAAGAAATATAAATCAATAATTTCCTCCAGAGGACGACGAAATGTATGCACATCGAGGAGAAAATGTCTATTGTCTCGCCTATAGTTGAGGCTTCGCACCCCTTCGTGGTCACTTTGGAGACCTGCAGAACATCTCTTTCCAAAGTCTCGTTCATCCAACGAACAGCAAGGCTCTGGAACACATTGCCAAGGAAGGTGTTCCCCGAGGCATATAACCTCCAGAAAATGAATTCCTACCTTATTTCCCTTGGTTCTCACGATGTTCTCTGAACATTACAGGATATCCCTTTTTGTGAGAACCAGACCATGAAAAAAAAAATTGTCGCTCTTGGTACATGAATAACAATATTGAACCTGTGGGGCAAATGGTTCCCAAGATTCAGCCGACACCCTTTCTTATTTGTACACCCGGTATAGTCTAACTTGCAAAAGATATCCTCAGGAAATAATGTAAGCTATTAAAATTGCGGTCATCTTTTCACTGTCAATTTAAAAACAGGATCTCAAAAGTGTTCGCTAGAAATGATATCAGTTGAAATTGAAAATGCAGTCAGTCATATCGTTCATCAATTATTGATGAAATTGACGTCTGCAAAACCATTCTATTCAACGTCATGCGTCATAGTTACTCACCCTTTCACCCTATAACTTCTTTGGTTAGTAATACTAGCAATTCGGAATTCGCTTAAACCAGAAAAGCTCCCAAACTGCCCTGGTCGTTCTCCAGGTGTCTTCACAGCGATTTCAGAACGCTCTCAAGGAATTTTTAAAAGCCCGCACTTTTCTATAGGAGGTTATAAGTTTCTGATGCCTTTTCATCATGTAGTATCAGTTCAGTCAATGAACAGGTTGGAGAGGCATAGAAGAGGACATAATTTTTGACTTCTGGGATTTGCTTGGAGTAGTGAAAATTCGAAAGTCCCCAAACATACAAGTTGAGCCAAGTTGCGGGTGGCGACATAGATCTCTTTTTTGGATTTATCGTTCATATCTCAAAAAGGATAGGTAAAAAAAATCAATCTTCAAGATTGTAGCTGATGAAATTGTCTAAAATTGTATCAGTAGATTTTTTCCTCGATTTTTTCTACATCATTCAGTTTTCGAAATATTCAACAGCGAATCATGTAAAATTTCCAAGATCGCTTTTTTATCTGTAGTGCAGGATAATATCGTGGATTGAAATATTTCGTGGGATTTTTTTGTAAAGGAAAGGTGCGACCCTATCGAATTCCTTGTTTATATCATATACAATGGTGTGATACCAGGTGTTTACTCTGATTATGTGGGGTATGGTTTTTATGTGATCCAGCCAATAATTCAGTCATAAATGACATGGAATATATAAAAATTAATATATTAACTTTCAATGTGTTCGTACTTTAAAAATGCATAATAGCCTTGATTATAAGTGTGAATACTCAAAGATAATAGTTACTTTTGTATCTAGAGCGCGAAATACTACTTTGGTGATCGAGATCTGATTTTTTTAACGAGGCGATAGTAAAACACTAGATGAGCCATTTGATTTATTTTATTCTTAAGAACGTCCTAATATGTGTCACTTATATATACAGTGTGTCCCGGTTTTCGTGAATACACCCCAATATATCAGTTGATAATAATGAGATTTTCTTGAAATTCCAGAAGTGATTATGTGTTAGGGCAATGAAGTATTCATAGCTAACATTATAGGGATTCCCTTTCGTGCGGTCCAAGAGATAAAAAAAGGTTTTTCATTAAAAATACCTATAAGGGATTATTTTGGATATTTTTAAATATAATTTCAAGAGCTGATTTCGTCAGTAAAAATCTCATTTCAAAATCACTTATAACTTTTCAGTTTACATGCCCTAATCCTATTGCATTTCAAACACCTCCATACGGATTCGCCAAATTCAGTATCCTGGCAACTGCCCTTATACTGAGATATGTGTCTACTGGGAGAACGCGCGTACCTTACCAAAATTAAAAAAAAAACTAATTATTTTAGGTGTACTTATTGAACAATTGTACATAAATTGCTACTTCGAAGTTGGAAACCAACTCCCAAGAAGTCGAAACTTGTTCGGGGTTAGGGTATAAGGATAAGGCGAGAATGAATTCAACGAAACGCTAAGGAGGTGTTTGAAATGCAATATGATTAAATATATAAAAAGTTAAAAAGTGATTTTGAAATCAACATTTTTTTTCTTCTAAATCTGATGAAATAATTCATGTTTTTGACATACAATCACCATAAACATTTCAAAGAAATGAGATATTAGTGTGTATTCATGAAAAGCGGGACATATTGCGTACATATAATATAATATCTCTAGACAACATTCATTATACATTAAGTATATTCATCCCGGCCACATAATTCCAGGAAGGGCAGTTTTGTTTCAACACTGTAAATCAACTGCAATTTGGCGATATTATAGTTTCATACTTATCGCACATTTTCCACTCAAGGTAGTTTTTTCATACACAATTAACGCTTGACCTTCTCTACATACATCGAGATAGTATGCTATATTTCATCTACAAAATTCAAGCCCAGACCTGAAAATAGTGACAATAAAAGTAAGTGAGAAACAATCAATAATCGCTTCCTTCCATGGATTTATTCCTTGGATTGATGAAATAAACCTCTGGTGCCCTCAATCTTAAATTTTTTCGTCAGACTGGTTCTTGATATAAACAATTGAATTTCAGACGATGACGTGGGGTTCACATATTGAATGTTAGATGGCGTAATTCCTAGTGCGGCTAAATCGCAAAATGTATTCCCTATCTTCATTGGTCCCGATTGTCACATTGATGCCTGTAATTTTGGTACGGCACCAGACTTAACTTCACCCACGCCATGTTATGTTTATCGAAGTAGGCGAAAATCAAGGAATTTTAAAACAGGGAAAAATTGAAGTGCGTACACCAGAAGTTTATTTCATCAATTTCATTGCCATCGAACAACAATTAAAGAAAAGGCTGCGGTTACTGTGCAAGCGTGTTCACGCAAAGTACACTTCGCGCGTATACGCCTGTATTCGGACGGCAGGAAATAATTTGTGGAATAATTCAATTCAATTTATTGTGTCAAAGAAAATTTACATTCTTATCACAAGAGGTTTTGTTAATTTTTTTCACTAAATACTTGAATATATATATATATATATATATATCCATTCATACATACATACACAACTTGCAGAAAGAGAAAAAAGAGCAAACAAATAGATGTTAGTCACAAAATCAGCGAAAATTCCTGGGTTAAATAGGAATTCATTCGTTTATTATAAAGGAACGTTGCCGATGTTAATTTTATAGTAATTGATTATGAACAGAGTTTTGGAAGTACCAGTGTCAAGTACATCAATAAGATCAGCCAGATTCGTAATTCTCGGGCTTAATGGATTCTTCAAGTTTTCATAAAGCGGTCACTCGAAAAAAATATGTTCTATGCTCTCTCATTCCTGTACACTGTGTCCCATTTTGGTTGAGACTGAACTGTATCTCAGCTATTATTGAAGATAGAGACATGCGGTTTCTTAAAAAAAATTCAGAATATGCCACTGACTGTAAAAACATCTATTATAAGCAGTTTTCATTTTAATTCCATCTTATACAGGGCCTGAGAAATATTAACATCTCCAAAAGTGAACATTTCCGTTTTCGCCCTGTATTTCAGGAACAAAAGTAGTTGGAATATTTCTGTTTGTGACTTTGAAAGTTTTACAAAAAATTGATACAGGGTCGCGAAAACCGCATGTCCCTATCTTCAATAACATCTGAGATACAGTGCAGTCTCAACCAAAATGGGACACAGTGTACATTACAAATTATCCAGAGCTGAATAAAATCAATTTCACTTGTGAAATAATTATACATACAGTGTGTTACAATTTGCTCCACCCCACTCCTGTATTTCCTTATTCCTTGGGCGATTCGGAATTTTTTTTTCTCTTATACTCCCCAAAATTATCTACTTTTGTCGAGAAAAAAAAATTATCAAACACAATTTCTTGGCCTACTGCGATCACAAAAACTAGAGCAAAATTGAAGAAAACAGATTAGGCATTTTTTTATAAAAATTTCGATTATGGCAATCGATTCGGACTAGTCACAAATACTTCTATATCAATTTTCAAAACAATATCTCATACGGGGTGTTTTTTAATATGGTTAGAATTTTTCAATAATTGCATTTTTCAAGTCACCGTGTATAATGATCTTATGAGAATTGGAATGATACCAGGCATGATGGTAGTCAGGATCAGATCATCTGGCTATAGAGTGAGATGAATAACGAATAAAACCATTAGAAATTCAGATTTTTTATCAAGAAATTCGAAGAAAAAACTAAATAAAAAATCAAAAAATAACATCAAAAAATTATACAACGAACAAAACATCGATTATATCAACAAGTTTAGATGTGTGTATCCTCTATCAAATTTCCTTCATTATCTATACATTTTTCATATCTTTTTCTCACGTTATTCACAACTCTCATCAATTCTTCTGGTTGTATCTCTCTACAAACTGTTATTATCCTTTGTCGCAACTCTTCTCTATTGGTTGGCCTAAATTTGTAAACCTCTTCCTTCACTTTTCTCCAGAAGTAAAAATCAAGAGGGGTTAAGTCCGGTGAACGGGGAGGCCAGTGCATTAATGGACTATTACGACCAATCCATTTCAAAGGAAATTTTCGATTCAACCATGCTCGCACAGTGATGGCGTTATGGATCGGAGAACCGTCCAGTTGAAATATAATATCTTTTCGTATATTTATTGGAAGTTCTTCAAGACTACCCCATAGCTGATTTTCTAGGAAATGGCGGAAACTGTCAGCATTCATCGTACCATCGAAGAAGAGAGGTCCAATGATCATATTGTTCAAAATTCCACACCAGACATTAGGTTTTCCGGAATATTGTCTCTTACAATCAACAACCCAGTTAGGATTTTCCGATGACCAATATCTCGAGATCTGTGAAGAAAATATTCCATTTGTCGTGAATGTCGCTTCATAGGTGAATAAAATATTCTTGAGGGAATTGTTATCATTCAGAAAATGTCCTTGAGACCACAAACAAAACTCCATTCTCCTTTCAGTATCACCTTGAAGTGTGTGAAGGAATTTAGGTTTGAAAGGTATTTTTTTGTTCTTTTTCAGCACTCTCCAAACCTGAATGTGATTCAGTCCCAAGTCGATAGCTATTTGTCTCAAACTAGCATTTGGATTAGCTGTAATTCTTTCGAGTATAGCTGCTTCATTCCCAATTCTCCTTCCTGGGCCTCTTTTTATCGTACTTGCAACATTACCAGTTAGTTCGAATTGTTTGATTATTCTCGAAACTATTTTGTGATCTATAGGGTTACGATTTGGGTGTCTTACATTGAATTCTTCAGCTGCTGCTCTGTAAGGAATTATGTTTTCTCTTACTAATCTTACGATCAAAACTTTTTCTTGAAGAGTTAATTTCTCCATTTCATGATTTTTCACAACCTGCTCTACTAATTTTCAATATTCTAGTAGTCAAGTCACAATACTTTCAAAGTTGTTTGAGAAAAGCGAAGCGTAATTCATGGCCAGCTTTTCACATAATTCTCAATCAGTAGGATTCATCAGAATTGAACAGTAACAACATTTCTCCTTTTAATTATTTTTACAAATTCATGCCTAGAGATAGAGAAGTGTTATTGCGATAAAGAATGATAACAGTTTGCAGAAGGACTGATGAGAGTTGAATAATTGCTGTTTTGTTCGTTGGATAATTTTTTGAAGTTATTTTTTGATACGTTTTTTTAGTTTTTTCTTTAAATTTCTTGATGAAAAATCTGAACTTCAAATAGTTTTATTCGTTATTTATCTCACTCTGTAGCCAGATGATCTGATCCTGACTACCATCATGCCTGGTATCATTCAAATTCTTATGAGATCATTATACACGGTGACTTGAAAAATTCAATTATTGAAAAATTGTAACCTTAATAAAAAACACCCCGTATGAGATATTGTTTTGAAAATTAATATAGGAGTATTTGTGACTAGTCCGGATTGATTGCCATTATCGAAATTTTTGTAAAATAATGCCTAATCTGTTTTCTTCAATTTTGCTACTTTTTGTGATCGCAGTAGGCGTTTGTGTTTGATAATTTTTTTTTCTCGACAGAAGTAGATAATTTTGGGGAGTATAATATGAGAAAAAGAAATTCCGAATCGCCCGAGGAATAAGGAAATACAGAGGTGGGGTGGAGCAAATTGTAACACACTCTATGTATAAGCATACGTTGAGGCATTCAGTCTGTTATGATCATCACGTAAAAGATGATTTTTGTATGATTCAAGAATCTCCGCACGGTTTTTTTCAAATCAAGAGCTCCAAAGTTCTCGATAAAAAAAATTTCGTACCCAGTAATTGCCGTATATTGTTCGATTTGACTTACCCAATTGTACCTAACATCCATATTTTCAAGTAATTGCATAAGGCGTTTGAAACGTATTTTTGGTATACGTGAGTCCGGTAGGTTGTTAATGTGATATTTCCGTTTTCAAAATGAGGTGACTCAATTTGGTAGAGTTCCATTCAAGTCTAAAGATATAAGGGGTGTTGTTGGGTAAGCACAAAATTCTCTTGAGGAAATTAACTTGTATACGTTTCACTATTTCAGGATATCTTGTTCCCCAAATTGCAACAAAATAAGATAGTGAGGATAATATAATAGACTCGTATAAATGAATTCTTTCGTCCCAAGAATTATTTTTGGAAACTTTTGGAATAACATTGTCGGTAGTTACTGTAAAAGCGAATTAGTAGCGCGAATAGCTAATTATCGCTTGTAGTTCAAACGGTTTTTTTTTTCGCGCGATCAAGTCTATTGTGATAGGAAAATGGATATTGAAAAATTAATATTTCTGGTGTTTGATGAAAAATCTCTGTGAGATCAGAAATATAGAAGTTAAAATAAGAGGGAGAAATCACGGAAGTTATGGAATGAAGTTGCTACTAATTTTAATTTCAATGGTTGCCAGTTTTACTCATCGAAGAACACAAAGCGAATCAGGGAATATGCTATGAACCCAACATTTCCTCTTGTTTTTTTGGTGCTCGAAAAGTATCGTATTCAGTAATAAGTGATGTGTTTTCCGTTAAATTGAACTCCTCAACATTACCCATGATTGTATGCGATTTTCCAAACTTTGATTCAAACTCTCGCTAACGTCGCGAAACCAGGCACCACATAATAGCTACTCGTCCGAATACAGGCGTATTCGCGCGAATACCCTCGCACTGTAACAACCTAGGGTCACTCTTAGCACCGCCGCGAATTCCTCCTTTTCACTACTACCCCCAAATCCCCCTACCCCCTACCGTTTACGGAAAATCGAATACCAAACGCATATACCGATTGACATACCAATCATACCGTCAGATCCCATGTTATAATGATACTGTTACGATTTTACTCTGGGTCCGTAATAATTTAACACTCGGTAGAACACTTAAAACGATTTATTCTGAACACTACTATACAATAATAACAATACTCGTACTAAA